TTGTCCTGTGAAATAACGGTATGCAATGTTCGACGGGGACATACCGTGCTTGGTTCGTCTCAAAGTTTGTGCTTCAACCTTAATACATACTTAGAAAATATAAGGTTTTCTTCGTAAGAACAAATGTGAGTGTTAAAGGTACTGATATCGATCTGGGCGACACATTTTTGTATCTCACTTCATGTCACTTATTAATAGAGATCAAATGAAGAAAGTAATAAATTCAAGGATATCAGCTAGTTATTTTTCTCATCTCATAATCATAGTCTACCGACAGCAGAACTTCCAAGTTCGGTAACTCAACCAACATGTTCCTCATCAATTGATATTCTTACAAGATTCTATTCTTTAGACATCATTCTTCTCGGTGTGAGAAACCTCGCCCTGCTCGTGGCCCTCGTTGAACATCTTGCCACCAGCTCCAGCAATGCTGTTGCGGTGCTGCCAGGTGTCATGGGGCTTCCAGCCAAGGGACTTTCGGGCAACGCTGACCTCGTCGTAGAGCTGGTCAACCTCCTCGAGGGTCAGACCCTTGGTCTCGTAGATGAAGAAGTAGACGAAGGCGATGCACAGGAAACAGCAGCCGAACCAGATGAAGAAGATCTTGGACTGGAGGTTGGCCTTGCCGGAACCGTAGTCGACGAGGTAGGGGGTGGAGTAGGCGATGGCCCAGTTGAAGAGCCAGTTGGTGGCAGTGGTCATACTGAGGGACTTGGCACGGGTCTGGAGAGGGAAGATCTCGCCAGTGACGACCCAGGCAAGGGGACCCCAGGTTGAGGCGAAGAAGAAGATGTAGATACAGACGAAAGAGACAGCAGCCTTCTGGCCAGCCAAGCTCTTGACGAAGATGACTCCATTGCTGTCTTGGCCGGTGGAGAAGGTACCGGACATGGCAACGATGAACTGAGACACACACATGCCGACGGCACCCCAGAGGAGAAGAGGACGACGACCCCACTTGTCAATGGCGTACATTCCAGGGATAGTGGAAGCGACGTTGATGGCTGATGTAATCATGGAAATAATGAAACCGCTGGAAATACCGGAGTTCTCGAAGTACTTGGTACCATAGTAGAACTAGAGCATGTTAGTTATGTCTCATAACCACGAGATAGTGAAACAGGAACTTACGATGAAGTTGATACCAGTGAGCTGCTGAAGAGCCTGGAGAGCACAACCGGTGAACTGGCGCTTGAGAATAGGAGGCTTGAAGCAGTCAAGGTACGAAGATGTTCCGAGGCTCATCTCATGGTCGTGGTTCGCCTTGATCTCGCTGAGCTCAGCCTGAATAGCAGGGTGGTCAGGGCTTAGGCGGCGGATCTTGGAGAGAGCTTTAGAAGCATCATCGTGACGGTCTTTCTTGATGAGGAATCGAGGTGTTTCGGGGAGGATGAGCATGCCACCGAAGAGGACGAGAGAGTAGGCGAACTGAACGGCGATGGGGATACGGTATGACCCTGTGTCATTGCGCTTGCCTGTCGCGTTGTTTACGATTGCAGCGAGGAGGAGACCGATTGTAATGGCCCATTGGTATGCACCGACGATGGCACCTCGAATCCACTTTGGTGCTGTCTCAGACTGGTACAGGGGGACTTACAAAAAAGCGTGTTAGTTAACTAGACCGAAACTCTGAAGACGTCATGTGGTGGTGAGAGCTTGAACTTACTAATAGCGGAAATTTGACCGACACCAAAACCGGCGAAGAATCGACCAGCCAGGAACATGGGGATAGAAGTAGCAGCAGTTTGGAGAGCGACGCCGAGATTGAAGACCCAAGTGGCGATCATGAGACCGGGACGACGACCGATGTAGTCACTCATAAAGGGGGAGGAGAGGGCGCCGAAGAATGTGCCGGCTGAGAGGATGGAGACGATGCTGGACTCTTGGCCAGTTGTGATGTTGGGGTTGCCCTTGGCGTCTGTGTAGCCGGTGCTGAAGAGTCGCTGCCAGTAGGGCATGGCCAAGATACCAGAGATGGTACCTGTGTCATAACTGCGATTGTTAGCCTCATGATGAAGACTCTAGGTGAGGAGCAGTATGACTTACCCATAGAGAACACCACCAAAAGCGACAAACAAGCCGATGGCGATAGCAGGCCATGCCTTGCCAGCCTCATCGGGCTTGCTGAGGGATGCCCTTCGAATTGCGTTCATAATGAAGATCGACACTCAAGTAAGAGTGCGCAATAAGAACTAATAGTGTATAAACAAGTGCGATGTGTGTGTATGAGATGAAGAACAAAGCCCAAAAACCAAGGCGGGAGATTGTCTCTTTTAAACCCCAAACGAGCATCATAAATTTCTGCGTTGTTATACCTAGAGCCTGCATACCAAGAAACCCTCTTGCGTAACATGACCTCTCCCCCCTCCCCCAGAAGCTAAAGAGCTAAGCTAGATATCCCACGGCCTGTCCGAGCTAGTGGAGTGCGGAGCAGCCGCACCATCAACTTACGATGGTGTAGTTTAAAAACGACTAAGCTGGGGGTGAGGAGGTCATGCGCTTCATTGGTTCAGCAAAGATTTGGTGTGGTGGTGGTTTATTGTAATACTTCCCTCCCCCTCAACGAGTGTCGTCACTGGCGAGGGCACATAACGCCTTCGCCGTGGAGAGCGGCTTGTACTAAAACGACGGGTAGATGGTGGCGTTTTTATCTATTCTATATGATGATATAGCTATGTCAGAAAATATAGTGTATTACAACTATGTAACACTATCTCGTCGTCCTGCGCTGCAGAACCCGTCAGAGCAAACAAGCTTCCCCAAACAAACTCCATCTTCCCCAGGTCTTTTTTCCTCGGCGCCCTCGTGCTTAACGGACTCATCTCCACATCCAGGTTTATTTGGAGTACATGCACTCTAATATCCCATGGCCTGGGGTTGTAAGTTAAAGAGTGGATACCTTTTTCCCCCGAGCCAAGAGCCGGGCCAGGCCGGCTCGGCGACGCAGATGCCGAAGAGCCTATTACCATTTTTGGTAAGTTTATTTAACTTGGTGAACGAGCTTAGTTGATGATACCCTTTTGCCACGACTAGGAACTAGAGATATCCAGCTAAAAGAGAGAGTAATTTTCAATAGTAAAGGTGTTACTTCGCTGATGGTGTTTGCAGCAATCTGTGAGAACGGTGTTAAAGCAGCTGACGCCCAATTTCGCTGGTGACGCTTTCGGAGCCGGCGGCTTCACGAGTAGCGCGCGCAAAGACCATCAATCACTTCGGCCCTATTGTGGAAGAGATCCTTTTCTTTTCATGAGGGCATTCAGGCCCAACACTTTTTTTTTCGCATCTACTGACTACCTTACTCTAATAATAACCCCAAACTCTAGCTCAGTTCAGCTCAGCTCACGTTTACGAGTTACCACAACGACACTGTCATATCATAAAAATCTGCATTGAATGTGGAAACATGTCTCATGCGTTATTGTGATTGCGGAATGGCGTCGCGCCTCGTTTAGAATGAGGCGCTTGGCGCTACAAGGCTGAAGATGTGTGTGTGTGTGTGTGTGGTGAGGCGGCAGAGCTGTAGCTTGCAGTGGCTGTTTCTGTGGTTGGAGAAGAGGATGGGAAACCCTTGTTCAGGCCCTAACCTTAACTTTATACTGGTGATTCAACAATATGCATGCAGAGAGTTGTTTGTTGTTACCGAGTACTATCATAGATTTGCAGCCTCGCAATATGCAATTGATAGTCCTTGGTTACACTGAACACGATCTCAAGTATGATACAGGTCTTGAGAATCTCAATTAAAGAATCACGATATATTGAGAATCAGTCCAAGTGTCAAAAGCGTATCTTTCAACGACTCGACTGATCAGCGGCTGATTCTTCAACACCAACTCAACAGTCCCGTTTCGACTAACAAAGCACTCGACTCCCACATCCCTCGATTCCCCCAGACCTTGGCTCTATGGGGCCATCAGCATCAGCATCGCTTAGCACCCAAAACCCCGCATATTGGGGCGAGACCAGCCTGTCAGTTGATGATCATGCCCATTTCCAAAACTCAATCCTCCACCCCAATAACACAACCCTGGTCACTAGCTTGTCGGACCGGTAATGCCACCTAGCGCCAAGTCTTGTTAGCAGAAGCACCGAGATCTGCACCGTTTCTCACGGATACCGGCATCACGATATGGAGACCTCGAGCTGCGAACAGGGATAACTCGACTCGTGCAATCCTTTCATTCTTTTTCGAATCGGCGGTATTATGGAGTCGATCACTATATGTCTCTCCATCCCCAACGTCCGTGGGTTCATGACAATCCCGCGGGGGAGGGGGATACCTCATCACCGTTGGACGAATACAATCAATATCCGTTTATCACTGCGACCTTGCTAACGTTAGTCTAGTCTCTTTTATCGGACCGTTGAATGCTTAACACCTCCCGCTATTGTTTGACTACAACCCCCAGGTTGTATGACTGCATCCTTCTCCATGGGCACCCCATATCGTCTCCAACATTTCTAGATTGGCTCTGCCTACTCCGTACTTTACTGATAACGCTGCCCTTCTGTGGTTGGGTATGCGGGGGTGGCCATGTCACCGTAGGATCTGGGGAACTTTCTCCGCTTACATGAAACAAATCCTTTATTGCAACTCACTGGCCTCGGGGAGCAAGAAAACACCAGACCTTCATATGGGGTGCCAAAATCAACCCAGTAAAAGATATTCTAAACTTAGTGAAGATATCCTAAATTTATGTAAAGTTACTTAAGTCTTTTTGTCATTTAAGATCAAGGTCGCGAGTTTTCTTTCCTCCCATTGAAATCTCTGACGCTTCAGATATTATCAGTCACTTTCAGATGTGCAACCAGCGAAACGGATAGAGTGAATTGAATCGCTTCGTCTCTGTATCGTCTATTTGACTAATCTATAATTACAACTCAAGGAAAGTTCCCATGACCTCTTCCGCTGACATACACAAGAATGATAGACTTAAGATCGATATACGCTTTCCTCCCGAGCGAGAGCTCTGTCACCCCGTGTATGTGTGTGGCGTCTGCTAGTCCTCTGGAATCGCGACCTCCATATCCTCGATTTTCCGCTCGTGCTAAACCATTTGGTCCATCTTCTCCCTTATCTGCTTTGCCAAGCTTTTAAGGTCTGTCACAAGTTGATCAAGCTCGTTGCATTGGGTGATCTTCAACGCCGCAAGCTGTTGCTGATTTCGAGAGCGTTGCCTAACAAGGCTGGATCGTTGTACTGCTGCCTCGTACAATGCTAGGGTCGTCTGTTCGTACGCAGCGAAGTCCAGCTCGCCGTTAGTATCCGACCTGTTCTCGCTACCACAGGATGTAGGGTCTGTATTTTGATCATTCATGTCGTCCAACTGGGGGGCTTCTGAGGCATGAGAACCTTGGCCATCGTCCTCATCAGCCGTCTCGTCAGAGGGCTCACTGCCTACAGGCGATCTATAGCCATCACCCTCATCAACAGTCTTAGAAGGCTCGCCACTCATAGGCGACTTGTCATGCTCGCCCTCATCAGGCTTTTCCTCAGGAGGCACGCCGCTCACAGGTGGTATATGGCCAGCCTTTTTCTGGGCGTGAGATTTGCCGCAAGTGGCATGAATGAATTTCGGGACTGTGAGATATTTTTGTGGCTGATTGGACTCTGCAACTTTAGCAAAGGCGACCAAACCGGTAGTGTCCCTCTGTGCCATGATGCGTGTTGCGTCGGGCCCAGGGTCTGAACCATCCGGGCCAACAATGGTATAAAAGAAAGGTACCATGCACTCGAAAAGGTACTTCTGTATGCGAATATGAGCAAGGGAGCTTGTTAGGCCTGCATCTCCAAGAGGCACCATTCGCTCGGTAACGAATTCTCTCAAATCATGGTCTGTAATGCGTTCAGATCGCAGGCCTTTGCGGATCAATGCTCGGATGTTGTCATCATTGTCCTCACTACGGATAGTACCGTGGTAGACGTAACGTGGTCTAGTGTCGGGAGCTTGACCGAAGAAGGCGGAGACTCTTGCTTCAGCGGCTTGCTCAGAGGCATTTGGTGCACTGACAAAAAACTCGGAGACCATTCTTTCTTGATCTTCAGTGCTGACGAGATTTGCTTTCAGTTGATGATAAACCATTCGTTTGTGATTTTGCATTGCGCTCGTGATCGTTGGAGGCGACGAGGTAGGGAATGAATGTGAGACCGTGTCAAGAGTTGTTTGTGTGTCTTTTTGGGATGCAGCTGCAGCACTCTTGCTGCTCTCTCCTTGCTGCTCGCCATTGTCTCTCTCATTCCTGTTGGCCATATTTGCTGATGTAAGGGATACAGGGTGTAACGAATGTTGTGGATGTGTATGAAGATGAATGGAGACATTTGGTTGTTGGATGGACTGACATATGGCCCAACTGGTCGAGGGCACTTACCTGTATCTTGAGGCTATGGATGTCGGGACCTTCCATGATCTCGCATGAGAACAGATTTAGGCAATTTAGGTAAATTGGCAGGCATGAGTCTAGGATACCTCTTCCAATATCAAGATCTGTTGTTTCCTTGTTCCCAAGGCCTGCAGAGTTTCCACTCACCTCATGGACTGAGCCTGCCGAATATCAATTATGTTTCCAGTTACTACTTCCTTTAGGTGTGAACCACGACGCGAGACAGCCTTTGCTAGGCTTGTTCTCAACCTCCAAGTTTAGGGTGGTACTGGAAGTTCCTTACTTTCTAAGGGTTCAGCCTTTTGGAGCAAGCGTAAGATATCCTAAACTTATACCAAACTTGTACTAAGATACTGACCTAAGTCTTTTTTTTTCTTTTTCTTTTTTACAGGAACAACTACATAACGCCATTTAAGGGCTGAAATTAAACTCAGGTCCTAAAAAAAAAAAAAAAAAACAAGCAATGAGGTAGATTTTCATAACTTCAGGGCAGTTGGATGCTTCTATATCGGCATATCTGATATTAGTCTGTTTTCTTCCACCCTATACCTGGCGGGATTCATGGCCCAGGCGAAAAACTCCCGGTGAGTCCCGCCCTGTATTAGCACTCCCGCACCCCCAGCACCCACTGTAAACCACTGGAGCACTGAGACATCCTTATTTCCCATCAACACGTGTCAAACAACCCGAGATATCTTCATCTTCAACCTCGTCTCATCCTCCTTCCACCCACAGTCGCTCATTTCTGCCCCAACCGCCAAAATGTCCTCTTCCCCTGAAAAAGAAAGTCCCCCAGCGCCCTCAATGATCAGAGGCGCTTCCCTGCTCATAATTCTCCAACTCGCCTCCCGCCTCATAACTTTCATCGCCAACCAGCTCCTCCTGCGGTATCTCACAGCCCCACTACTAGGTCTGTCAACTCAACTCGAGGTTTACTACCTCTCAGTTCTCTTCTTTGCTCGCGAAAGTCTTCGTGTTGCTATCCAACGCCGAGACTCGGGATCGCAGGCCAAAGAGGAGAGTCAAGCTGTGGTGAATCTAGGATATCTCGCCATTGGACTGGGAAGTTTTGTCAGTCTTGGGTTGGGGTGGATGTATCTTGCGTATGCGAATGATATCACGCTTGCTACGCCGTATTTGGTTGAGTCGCTGTATCTCTATGGGTTTGCGGCTATGGTTGAGTTGTTGTCAGAGCCGTGCTTTGTTCTCATGCAGACAAGGCTGCAGTTTGGGACCCGAGCTGCTGCTGAGTCGATTGCTACATTTTTGAGATGTATAGTTGTTTTTGGTTCTGCTGTCTGGGCGTCCAAGCACAATGATATCGGGGTGCTGCCTTTCGCGCTTGGACAGATCACGTATGGTGTCTCACTACTCCTTGTCTACTTGGTCTCAGGATATCGCCTTGCCTCATCAATCGGCTTCTCACTTCTCCCCAAAACAATCACCTCAAAGGACAATCGCTTCTGGGCCTCCATGTTTGATCGGTCAACCATCGGTCTCGCAGGGAGCATGATGGCCCAGAGCGTGGTCAAGCACCTCCTCACCCAGGGCGACACATTCCTCATCTCCTTTCTCGCATCCGCCAGCGTCCAAGGCGCATACGCTCTCGCAAACAACTACGGAAGTCTCCTTGCTCGTCTTCTCTTCCAGCCTGTTGAAGAGAGTAGCCGAAGTTACTTCTCTCGCTTGCTGTCATCTGTAACACCTGTCAAACAGGGCGGCAAGCCAGTTAAGGAAGTGTCAGAAGCGAAACAAAACCTACAAACTCTCCTTCGCCTATACATCCTTTTGACTTCAATCATCATCAGTCTTGGCCCTTTTGCTGCTCCGCCTCTTCTGGCTATTGTGGCAGGCAAGCAATGGGCTGGCTCAGGGGCAGGTGATGTGCTTGCAGCGTACTGTTTCTACATTCCCTTCATGGGTCTTAACGGTCTCACAGAATCATTCGTGGCGTCAGTCGCTACTGAAGCCGAAGTCCATATCCAGTCTGTCTGGATGGGTGCATTCTCTGTCATTTTCGCTGCTTCAGCCTTCCTCTTCATGAGAATCTACCCTCTCGGTGCTATTGGCCTTGTACTAGCCAACATCATCAACATGGGGTGTCGCATCATCTGGAGCGGAGCATTCATCAAGCGCTTCTTCAAAAGACACGGAACCGACTTCAAGATCAAATCACTTATTCCCGAGAGCACACTCGGCGTCTCAATCGCTACAGCTATCCTCCTCAAGCAACTAAAAGTCGTAGACAACGCAGATCAACCGATCAAATCTCTCGTCAAGATCGCTGGCTCCGCTATCCCATTATTGCTTCTAATGTACGTCTACAAAATTCCAAGAGCAAACTTTTTGAAAACAACATCTAATCATCGCAGCCTGGTCCTCGAGCGCCATTTTATCCTTGAGTGTCTAAACTCGGTCCGCGGTCGCAAAGCCGCAAAACAATAGTGCTCCACATAATAGTTGTAATTCTCTTAATCAAATGTGATCTTGGTCGACTTGGCGTTCATGTCGACATCCTTGAAGAAAGCGCCGTACATGTCGTGAGCCTTCTTCTTAACGGTGGTGCCGAACTTGAGGAGATCTTCAGGTACGGGCTGGTTGGCACCTCGGAGAATGTTGACGAGCCTAAGAGTGTAAGTATGTATTCATTTACGGGTGTATCAGGTACTTACGAGCCGGAGTGCGACTTATCCTCAACAGTAAAGAAGGTGATGGCCTCACCAGTCTTGCCGGCACGGCCAGTTCGGCCAATGCGGTGGACGTAATCTTCAATGGTCAAGGGGAACTAGAAAAATTAGCAAATGCTGGGTGGCGATTTGGGTTGAACATACTGTAACGTTGATAACGAGCTTAACCTCGGGGATATCAAGACCACGAGCAGCGACATCAGTGGCAACAAGAACAGGAGTGGCTCCAGACTTGAAAGCCTCAAGACTCCTTGTTCGCTGCTCCTGTCGCAGATCACCGTGAATACCACCAACACGAATACCCTTGCGGGCCAAGGTATTCTCCACACGTGTAGCCTCCTTCTTGTACAGACAGAAGACCAGAATACGGTCGTTCTTCTGCTTGCCCTGTTGGTGCTCCTTCAGAAGCTGAAACAGGCGGAATTCCTTCTCTCTGGGCTCAAGAACCTCAACTCGCTGTGTAATTCTTGAGTTGGCTTGCAGCTCAACGGATCCATCGGCTGTCTCCTTACCGCCAGATCCAATGGCGATCTTGACGGGGCTGACCATGAAGGAAGAGGCGAGGGACTGGACAGATTGAGGCCACGTAGCTGTAAACATGAGTGTCTGGCGCTTCTCGCGGGGTTGGCAGGCGCCCAGGATCTGCTTGATATCCTCCTCAAAACCCTTGTCAAGCATACGATCAGCCTCGTCGAGAACGGCGAAAGTAACTTGGCTCAGATCAACGGTTCCATCAGACATGAAGTCCTTAAGACGACCGGGGGTAGCGACAATAATGTCAGCACCACATCGAAGAAGGTTTCGCTGATCGTCCTTGGAAGCACCACCGTACAGACACACACACTTGAGCTTGTTCAGCGCGGCCACGGAAGCCATCTGCTCATAGGTCTGCATGGCGAGTTCTCGTGTAGGCGAAACAATAACGGCTTTGGTGCCCTTGTACTTGATTTCAGAAACAGCCTCAACGCAGGGAAGAGCGAAAGCCATGGTCTTTCCGGATCCTGTCTCAGCAACACCGATGACATCGCGGCGAGAGAGAGTGAAGGGCCATGAAGCGGACTGGATAGGTGTAGGGGCCTTGTAGTTGGCGAATGGCGAGGGCTTCTTCTCGAGGAGGTTTGTGGCAGGGAGTTGGTGGAATTCCAAAACAGGGCGAAGAGTGACGGTCTCGGTCTTGGGGTCGGTGATGGTGATCTGGTTCTTGGAAAGGAATTCGTCAATCTGGGCTTGAGGAACGTTGGAGAGGCTTGCGGTCTGGACGTAAGCAGCATCTGAGGATCCGTCGTCAGAAGATTCATAAGAGACCTTGGCTTTCTTCTCCTTCTTAGACTTCTTCTCCTTGGGGGCCTCCTTCGTGGCTTCGGTAGTCTCAGCAGACTCCTCGGCGGCCTTGGCCTTCTTCGCCTTCTTCTTTTCCTTCTTAGCCTTCTTGCGCTCGGCACGCTCAGCCTCAGAATCGCCAGTCTTTTCAGCAGGAGTCTCCTGCTCTTCAGTCTTGCGCTTCTTGTCCTTCTTCTTATCCTTGCGCTCCTTCTTCAAACGAGCCTTCTCGTCGTCGGTGACCTTGGTCTTCTTGGAAGGTCGGTCGACGACGGCATCCTCGCTATCAGCGAGGAGATGCTTTGTAGCAGCCATTGTGAAAGATTATATGTGGTATTCGACCGAAGGGAAGGTTGTACGAATGGCGGTCGAGGGTATCGCAGAATGGCTGGGAACAAATTGCGACGTAAAAATGGGTGGGATGTTTTACAGAGCGAGCGCAAAAAATCTCTTATCGATAAGACAAAAACCGTTCGCCTCCCAGTTTAGACCCACATTCCGCTGTCCCCGGATAAAAGTAAAAGGTACGTACCCAAATTCCTTTCTTAGAGGACCCTGGATTGAACCATTCTATGAGGTGCTTCCAAGTCACTTCACAATCACTACTTTATGCCTTAACAGCATTTCGTGTTGTGACGTTGAACTAACTCTTGTACGATGCAATGCTTCGCTCTGTAGACACAAAGCCATGTCCACAGTTCAAGCAGTCGGCGACACGTGTGCCCTGTTGTGTCTTCGCTTTTCAACCCTTCAGGTTTAGACGACATACAACATTTCCAGTCTCATATGCGTAACGATCGTGTATGCTCCCTTTCAAGTCGGTACCCGAATGATACAGGTGTCATACCTACAGTGCTGTCACAAGACCTATCAAAATGCAAGTTGCCGTTCGGTTCTGTCAAGCTGGGGATGGAGTTACCTCGATGCCTCATTTACCGGGTGATGTAACAGAGTCATGATTGGGTCATTTCTGATTTCCATTTGATCGCATTGGCTTATATGAGATTTCGCTTTGTTGTATTTAGTCCTAGGAAAGTCATGAAGCATCGCTTGTCCTCCTCTTTGCCAAAAGCCTCATAGTCTCTGTTGGACTGCTTCATGATCGCTTTGGGCGCCTGTTGTGAGAGCTTGACTAGCATGTCTGTCTCATTCTTTAGATGACTATTCGAGAGTCCCAAATAGTTGTTTGAATGAAGATGGTATACAAGTGTACGCCGGACCCCAGTCACAATGGGGGATGAACTGTGTTCCCTCTCTTCCAGCGACCCATGAGACTTCACCATGAATACTAGGAGTGAGCCGCTTTGTTCTCTCGAGGGCCGTTCTGATGTCTACGGAGTCGGCATTCGAGCCGCATTTTACGCACAATGGCTTGGTTCTCTTCTCATGGAATACCTCTCTGAGGAGAACCTCACAGATTTGCGGTTTATCAGTCTGTTTTCTTCAGCAGCCGCATCTATATCTCTCGTCATTGGAGTCGCTTACAACTCCCTTGAGTCACTCGACATATACTTCTTGCTTCTTCTAGCCATGGGTTTCTATATATTTCAGATGCCATTATGCATCTGGCGTATTCTCACGAGGTGTCAGGCTCACCTTGACCCGTTCCAACTCTCGAAGGAGAGCCATGGGCATTTCTATCATGTTATGAGTCTTACAGTACTCTCAGCTAACGTGTCTGTTGGAACATGGTACTTCACGACCTTTCTCCCTCAACTGGACCGTGATTGCCGTGGCCTGGTATTTCTATTTGGCAAGGTCAGCCTGGAAAGTCAGGGATATAGCATGACTGGCTCCATATTCTTCATCGGTTTTCTTGTCGGCATTGGCTGGTTTATCTTTTTGAACGCTTGTTGCACTATCACCAAGTCGAGTTCGCGACATAGGAGAGCGAGGTGAGATCGTTCCAAGCTACTCAATTTCAGGACTGAACATATTCAGGTCGAGAAATATCTGGCGATTCAGAATACTCCGCGCAACATCTGGCTTAATAGTATTTACACTTTTGGTTCTCTCGATCGAACTTCCTATACAGTGGAACCACATACAAGGCGTTTACGAATTTACTACAGTGGCACAATTACTGCCCTTTATGCTCACCATTGGAGTATTTCTTCGATCTTGGGCTGTTTATGCAAGCAGAGGCAACGATAGGTCGGGAGGGCGAAGGCGTCGCAGATCTCCTTCCACCTCGCCTTCACCAACATCTACATCTACATCGATCACGTCAAGTAGCAACTCTTCCCAAGTCATTGGCTATTATTACACGGACCCTACTTACCAAAATGATGAGGAAGACGCAGAGTACGACTACGATGGTTACTATGACTATTATAACAATTACAATAACTACGAATATTCAAATACGGCAGAGGAGGATCAAGCCCAGATTCAGTGGCCTCAGGGAGTTCATTTATCACGTTGGTAATAAATACAACTTTATCACCAAATCAAGGTGAAGCTCGGTGACCTCGGTGAACCCCGCCGCACAGACCCCTTGAGACCCCTTCCACCCCGCAACCGCAAGTAAACAAAACCATCAATTCCCAAACTCAACCCAGATACCTTCATTCCAATTGATATCCCAGTAGCGCCGAAAATGTCGTCAAAGGAAGCTTCCAAGAGTAAGGACAAGGATAAGTCCAAGGTCCATAAGCTCTCCCTCAAGGGCAGCGCTCGTCTTGTCGCTGAATTTGTACGTTGGAACAAGCTGATTTCCTACTTGGGCGAGAGTTTGCTAACCGTTGGGATTTACAGTTTCAATATTCTATTCACAGCATTCTGTACGCGAGATTACACTTTATCAGTTGGCGATTTTGGTTAATGATATGATAGCTTCCAACGAGGTGTCTATCCCGCCGAGGACTTTACAGTGTACGTTCCTTGCGACCGATGCCTCCAAACACCGACTGACAGCATCCAGCGTTAAGAAATATGGCCTCAACATGCTGGGTAAGCCCGCAACCCTTCACTCCCCAACCATCCCTCTGCGACCCTTGCGACTAACACCATCCAGTCTCGGCCGATGACCAAGTAAAAGCCTACATCAAAAAGATCATGTCCCAGCTCGACAAATGGATGGTCGGCGGCAAGATCTCCAAGCTCGTCATCGTCATCACAGACAAAGACACAGGCGAGCACGTCGAGCGCTGGCAATTCGACGTACGTCTTTCCACTCTCCCTATCTGTACAAACTCTCTAACTTCAACAGGTCCAAATCTTCCAACCCGTCAAGAAGTCCAAGTCCTCCAAGTCCTCCTCCAAAGACCAAGAAAACGCCGCTCCCGCTGGTTCCGCGCCCACAGCCCCCGAAAAGACAGAAACAGAAATCCAAGCCGAAATCGCAGCTATCTTCCGCCAGATCACCGCATCTGTTACGTTCCTACCTCAGCTCAGCGGCGATTGCACATTTAACGTCCTCGTTTACGCTGATGCGGATAGTGAGGTCCCTGTTGAGTGGGGTGATTCGGATGCGAAGGAGATTGAGAACGGAGAAAAGGTGCAACTGAGGGGATTCAGCACGGCGAATCACCGTGTTGATACCTTGGTCAGCTATCGATTTACTGACTGAGCTGGATGATCTCGAGTATAATGGAGGGAAAGAGATGGACGAGTTGCTTTTGGTGGATTTCGGCATAACTCAGGAATGATTTATCTTGAGGGGCGTTACAAGGCGCCTTGGGGACTTTGCTTGTCCATATTCAATATTCAACGACCGCGATGGATTTGTACGATACGTATCAGGATGTCTTGTTATCTAATCTTCGCAGACATAATATCCCAGTCACTTCTACATGCGTGTCTCATCTGCTTTTCTAATGTCCAGGTACCAAATCATGACAGCGTAGACATAGCTGCCATCGCCTCTTCAACCTCGCGCCATTCACCGTCTCATGCAACCGGCCTATCTTCAAATCAAATGCGCCTCGCCCATTGCTATACAGTCGATAGCCTGGACCTAAACTCGCTTGAAAAAGTACACATACGCAAACTTGCGCATCTCATCAACATCATGGGCTTCAACGACCTTCTCATCGTTGAAGAGAACCCAAGTTGGAACATTAGCATCTCCCAGAGCCTTGCGGATGAAAGCAACGTAATGTCTATAAATAATTAGCATGCTGTGTGCTGTGATTGCGTAGAAATACTTACCCAGCATGGATACTTGTGCCCTTGTGGCACACGATTGATCGAAGTTGGAAAGTAGCGGGCAAATCAGCACTTCCAGCAGGTTCCTTAGGAGCAGCTGCTTCGGCGGGAGCATCATCATCAAAAGTGCCTTGGTCGTCAGGATGGCTGAACAGCCACTCAACAGCCCGCTCGACATCGCCACCTGTCTCTTTCAGGGCCTTCTTGGCCTGAGGGGCACCGAAACCCATAGCTCCGAGCATCTCAATTTTCTCAGGGTCAGCGGTGTTGGCGCCACCACTTTGAGCACCAAGATCAAGGGGCGCATCAATGTCGGGGTCCTCCATGTGCCCGAACAACCATTCCATCGCGGCGTTGGCATCGGAGTTTCCGGTGGCGTGAAGAGCACGCTCGCAGCGGTTGCGAGGGAAGCCCATGGCTTCGAGCTGAGCGAGAGCGGCAGCATCGGGTTCAAAAGCGGGAGCTTTGACCTCAGGCTCGTCTGGCAGTTGTTCCTCCCCAGGCTGCAGTCCCTTGGACAGATATTCGTCCAAGTTAAAGGGCTCGTCCGGTACAAGAACAGGAACATCAACCTTGATAGGAACCCAGTTGACCACAGTCATCTTTCGTGCGTTGACAACCAGGGTATCGGGGAATGTCTTGAACAACGATCGCTTGGTGAAGCCATCCTTGCTTCCGCAAGCTGAGCAAGTCAGCTCAACCTTCTCGGCTCCTGTGAAGTTATCGAGACACTCCTTGAGTGACACAGGCTTGTAAGCATCTGGGCCCTCCGAACCCTCCTCCCGAGGCAGCTTTTCTAGGGGGACATCGATGAAAATGCTGTCCTGCTCGTTGCTGCTGTACCGCACCTTGTGGCATCCCAGACATTGAAGTCTTTGCTCTAGAACAAATCGGAAGGGTTGTGTGGGGTCCTTTCCATCGGGGTGGGGAGATCGAGTGACGAGTTTGAATAGGTGCTGGAGGAATTCGAGGGCATCCTGCTGTCGCATTGTAGAAAACTCTTCATGTCCTCGACCGATAAGGTGCTTGAGCATGGCTGGCGCAAGACCCTTCTGGTGCGTGATTCCCTCTGCAGCAACATCAGCGTCGGGTTTAGAGTACCGTCCAGATAAGAGTCCATCGGCTGTCTTTCGGAGCTGAGTCTCGATATCCGCAGCTGGTTCGGGAACGATGGGTAGGTCGTCATTGGGTCGGAAGTATCGCTCCTGGAATGATGGCATGTCAAACAGACACTGGACGATACTGGCAAGGTAGCAGCTGTTTCCAAGGTTCTTCAAGCCCGTAAGGCCAGGACCAAACAGGGGCTTGAGCTCCTTTCCGTCTTCCGTTGTCATGCTGAAGTCCCATTTGAGATTCTGCTCGATCTGCATCTCAGTCAAGCTCTTTTCCGTCTTCTGGCGCTCCGCCAATACGATGCCCCAATGGTTTAGGTGTTCGCCCAGGTTGTCGTCGACTCTTTCGTCATCACACTTGTAGCAGTAAATGTCGGCGGTTCCTTCAGGTGTGATGGATCCAAGCTTCACAGCGACGCCATGACCAGACTCGTTGGCATGAGCGAGAGCGTGCGAGTTTCCGTCTACGCCACCCATCTGCTTACGGCCACATCCCAGGTTGCCACACTCAATACACAGCCAAAGGTTCTCTGGTAGGTCGCAAGCATAGCAATGGCTCAGGTCGTTTTGCTCGATCTTCTTAGCAGGCGCTTGCTGAAGCATCAAGATATGCTCGCAGCTGGTCAGCTCCTGTTCCCATGCCTTAACCTCTTCCTTTCGAGAAAATGTGTTCGCCTGGAGAATACCGTCGACCATCGGTGCGAGCTTGGGATGCGTTCGGTCGAGTTCGGTGTTACAGTCGAGGCACTTGACAGTTAGCGCTGTATCATATCGGTCCTCCTCAGTTTCAGCTGCGATAGCCAGCTTGGACATCTTGGCGGGTGGTTCGTCTCGTTCGACAATCTTTCTTGTGCGGCGGATGTTGAGAGCGAGGGGATGCTGGGTCAGCGCATAGTGAAGTTTATCATGGTTACGGTCGCCAGCGCATCCTCCGTTGAAGCACTGAAGGCAGACATCGAGCCCAGCAGGATCATCCTGTTCAACTTGGTCAGCAAGCTAAGCTTCAAGGATTTCGAGGGCTTGGCGCTCAGCAAGCGGGAGTCTTACGATGGAGTCGAAACATTGAGTACAATCTTCGCGATAGACGGACTGAGAAGGGTTAGGGGGTGTCAGCCCTACAGTATAGTCAGTCCACAAAGTCCTACTGAGGTCGACCGCGAGCTTGTCGCAACTATCATGACTGGTGGTCGATCAAATGGCGGGGTCGATTTTGAAGATTCACGTACCGATCAAGTCGAGATGCTGGCAAGCCATGATGGGGAAGTTTTGGTTCTGCTTCTATTTCACAAGCCAAGGTTTGTTCAGGATAAGTAAAAGAGAAGATTGAAGTGATATGTGTAGAAGGTGGATGTGGAATTAAGCTCGAGCTGAAATCAGCACTGCCTGGAGTTGGAAGCTTCAGGTGCTTTAGTGATAGGCGGCACACGTCACTGGGGTAAGGCGGCGGGGCATTCCACCAGCCACTCATCCGGTTTGGTGGCGCTGTGGCGTTATTCCTTTGATGATTCCATCCAAGATCCATGTCCAGACTTGTGATGATTCCATGTGGCAGTGGTAATTGTGTTGAGTATTGGCTATTTGGTATCTGTTTCGGCCATTATATCGGAAAATGGCATGTTGACAGGCCAAACGGCTGCATGCGGCTGCAATATTCCCTTATTCACACTGGCTAGGTAGGCATAACACTACAAGCTTGAATTGCCCTGTAAGTCTCGCAACTCTAACAAGGCCGTCTGACGCTATACAACATGGTCTCGACTTATTTGTCATCACTGCAAGCTAGGGACTTGAAATTGAGCATTCCTACAACTGGGATTCAAGGTGGACAGTGCGTCTAAGGCATTCATTCATTCGTATTGAATGGTAACACAACAGATGGCCTACCCTAAAGACACTGATTGATCTACATCTGGCAAGCACCAGGCACAGAATTCCCCAATAATCAAGTCACTTTGTAGATTCTGTCTTTCTAACAGCGATGCGATTAAATTTTGTGAGATTTAAATGCTGGTTAACACTATCTCGCCTTACAAACTGCTCTAACCAGGTTCTCTGTGGCCTCAGGCACGGTTACAACTTCTTCAAAGAAGACAAAATACCAGGTCTCACCTCATCTAAAGTTCTCTCTGCTGATCTAAGCTCTCAGCAAAGTGTAGAGGTATAGCGCCGTCGGATCCTTCACATGTCACTACCTATTGTGCAACGACTTGATGTCCTGTCCCGAAAGTAGGAATTGCCAACAGCCGTGAAGCACATATCCTGCCCATCTATAGAGAGGCTCTTGCTTCTCATCGTCCATGTCTTCGTTCATCGAATGGTCCATCGCTTGGGCGGCGTCCTGCATTGCTTTTGCAAGATTTACTATGAGGCTGCCGCCATCTTTATATGTATTGCCATCTGTGGAGGTGCTCTGTTTAGAGAAAGAGTCGAAAAACAATTTCGAAAACCTCGACCCATGTGTGTCGTTAATTTTCCACAGCGTCGATACTGTTGAACTGGCCCCAGAACACATCAGCGCAGGGACAAGTCCCAAGACCTCGTCTCCTAGAGGCACATCCACGACACCCCCCTGGCACGCTATCATGTTGATGTGTGTGCCTGGTGAGACTATAATATCAAAGAATTCTCGGGCCGTGACGCTCTCAACCGGGCGTTGCTCGTTAGGCGGCGCACACGGCATAGGAAACTCGACCTTGTGATCCAAAGGATCTTTCGATCCCCAGCCACAATGAGTATGCATATGGAGGAGACGAGAATTTCCAGCAACAGTCAGGAAGTTCTCCTTGGAGGCGGTCCGGTCTATCATTGGATCTGTGTGGAACTCACGGGCCAGCGTCTGGATACTGGCTCGTCCTGCTTTAAGGTATGTGGATTCGGATTCCGCGATGCCTGATATGAATTTGACGTTGATAGGCGCTAGCGATGGTCGTGCCACCTCCGTGGCCGCGAAGCATGAGCGCAGAAGTGACTGGCTGTGGGTATAAACGACTGGATTTCGGTGTATCAACGCTTGATGTCCTCCGATCGCAAGTGCGTGAAGCGGAAGCCGGTGGAGAGAGGAGGATGGACACAGGACAACGAGATCACCCGGCTTGACATGGCGGGAAAGCGGCGCAATGAGACCACCTAGCATGCTATCGAATGCTTTGCGTGCCTCTGGGGTGTCGAGATTCTCCTCTTGTATATCTTTAAAATTTTCTGGGGTAAGATATGTTTTCATCCAATCAACCACATCCCCTACTTTCGTAGTCAACATATCCATGGTTAGTTTTATATTTATGTTTCGTTTGGATCGATTCTTAGTTGTGAA